GCCCAGCAGCAGATGACCAGCTCGCAGAAGGCCCTGATGCTCGAGCTGAAATCCCTGCAGGAGGAACCGGTGGAGGGCTTCCGGATCACCCTGGTGGACGAGTCCGACCTCTACAACTGGGAGGTAGCCATCTTCGGACCCCCCAACACCCTCTACGAAGGCGGCTACTTTAAGGTATTCCCCACCCCCCCTCCGAGCCTCGGCTTCCCCGGCCTCAGGCCTCGGCTCCCTGTCGCTTGGGGGCTGTTTTTAAACTGGGCGGGGAGGGGGCTAGGAGTGTGAGCGCAGCCCCCCCCCCCGCCCCGGTGGAGGCAGGAAGGCCTGGCTCACCCAGTGCCTTTTCTTTGTCATGGGGCGGGGGCGGGAGGCCAGGCTGCACCGGGAAACGGGAAAGCCTCCCCCTGGCTGGGGTACTGACTACTGAGGAGAGGATGGCTGTCTTTGTTTTGTTTCTCCAGCTGAGGAGGTTTGGAAAGGGAGGTGTCTTCTCCTTCTCGATCTCCCCTCTGGGCCCTCTCTGCGCAGGCTGGAACTGCCCCAGAGGGCAGGGTGACCTGCACTTACTGGATTGGACTTTTTTTTTTTTTAGAGGAGGGGGTAGTGGTGGGAGAGGTGCCTGTCATTCCTGAGGCCCTGACCTTTTGAGTATTCCTTGAGCTTCTTGGGTAGTGAGAGTTCCAACTTTATATTCTAGTGGGTGGTAATGAAAAGGGAGTGATATGTGTGTGTGTGTCTGAATATATGTATATCAAGGTGCTGCGTTTTCTTGCCAATCTCCATCGGAGGGAACTTTAATTTAGCTTTCTTTCTGGTCTTACTCTACATTTACCTCGGTCAGTGTTTCTTTTCAATAATGCCCTTTGTCCTCACCCCGCAGCCACCAAGTTTACTAGCTTTTATTATTTATTTCTCCTTTTGGAGAAACATCCACAAAGGGTGGATCATGACATGTTGGAGACATTATTCAGTTTCTCCCTTTAGGGAGTTAACGTCGAAAGCTTTTGTGCCCAGGTGGTTAACTCCACCAGAATGGGGTCAGCTCACAGATGAAAAGTATCTTAGAGGAGGCGATTCTTGGGGTGAGATGGCTCCTGAGCAGGCATTGTAGACATTGTTTCTATTGTTTTCCATGAATTATTCTGGAATCCAGTGCTTTTTTGTTCTAACTCCAAGGTAGATAACTTGGAGATGACTGATTTTATTTTTTCTTTTTTTTTACTTGAGCATATTTGCAGGGTGGGCTCCCAGTCTGAAGATTAGAATGTTTTACATTGTGGGGACAGAGCTAGAGGAAATGAATGTTAAGGAATTATTTTTTTTTTTTAATTTCCAAAATTAAGTAAAATAGGCCAGTGAGTCAATTTTAGTTTGTTTTGAAGGGAGGGGTTATTTTGGCACAAGTTTTAAACGAGTTATCTTAGTCATGTAGTTGTGATGTGTATTTTTAGGACTACCCAATTACTTAACTCTTATTTTCTACCCTTCAAAAGGTATAAGCTTCTGTTTCTGGCTTCAAATTAGGTCAACTTTGTTTAATATTTATGTCTGTGATAGTCACTGAATATCTAGTAAAAAGACATTTTTATGATATTATGTAAGAGTTGTATCCTTACCAATTATTTGCTTCATTTTTGTGGTCAGCATACACATATACTTTTCAGTTGGAGATATTTAAAATTACTAAGTAAAGGTACAAGTTATTAGTGACAAAATAATAGAAAATAGAAAAGATATTACCCTATCCATGTTGAGACACATACTCTATTTAAAGATGCTGGAAATAGTCACAAATGGAATTTGTTTTGACTTTTCTAACAATTTTTTTTAGTAAAATCTACTGGCCAACTTTTGTGGATCAAGTTTAATTTCCAACAAGTATTTTTTAGTCAGGTGCCAGAAGCTCACCCTTGCAATCTTAGCTACTCAGGAGGCTGAGATCTGAGGCTTATGGTTTGAAGCTAATCTGGGGAAGAAAGTCTGTGAGACTCTTATCTCCAGTTAACTACCAAAAAAGCCAGATGTGGATCTCTGGCTCAAGTGGAAGAATGCTGTCCCTTGAGCAAAAAAGCTCAGGGACAGTGCTCAGGCCCTGAATTCAAACCTTAGGACCAGCACGGAAAAAAAAGTATTTTGTTTGGGACAACTAACACTAAGGTAAATAGTACTAGTTAGATAATATTACTCCATAGCAGTTTGCTAAAAACAAAGCAAATATATGTGAAAGAAGGGATTGGAAATTAACATATTTTGCCTAGTATTTAATTGGTAACAGAGCATAGCAAACCCTCCTTAATGTGAAATTGGTAATACAGAAGATACTCCCTATTCTGTGTGTACACTGATTTAGAATGCTTGCCTAGCATACTGGAGGCCCTGCCCTGGGTTTGATCTATACATAGACACACAGACACACACACACACACACACACACACACACACACACACACTTAATAATGTGATAATTTTCATTTTCTTTAGTAGTTTATTGGGAATAAGAATTTCATGCCAGGGCTGGGAAGGTGGCTCAGTGGTAGAGCACTTGCCTTGCATGCCTGAGGCCCTGGGTTCGATTCCCAGCACCACATAAGCAAAAAGAAAAAAAAAAAAGAATTTCATGCCAGGCGCCGGTGGCTCACACCTGTAATCCTAGCTACTCAGGAGGCTGAGATCTGAGGATCTTGGTTCAAAGCCCGCCCGGGCAGGAAAGTCCTTGAAACTCTTATCTCTAATAAAACCACAGAAAACTGGAAGCGGCGCTGTAGCTCAAATGGTGGAGCACTAGCCGTGAGCTAAAGAGCTGAGGGACAGCGCCCAGGCTCAGAGTTCAAGCCCCACGACTGACCAGAAAAAAAAAAAAATAATTTCACAGATTTTTCTGCAAGGGCTGGCTTTGAACTGGGAGCCTCAGATCTCAGCATCCTGAATAGTGAGTATTACAGGAGTGAGCTGTTGGCACCAGTTTTAATTTGTGTTAGTTTTGTTTTGAATTTTGGGGGTTAGAGATTGAACCAGAGTCTTTCCTGCTCTTCTTGCTTTACCTTTGATTCTCAAATATGCTTTATATTTTTGTTTTGTGTGAGAAGTTTGTTAAGTTGCATTTCTTATATTTTGTCCCTATCGTATTGCCTTTTATCTGATTAATCCTTAGCTGAAAAAAAGGCAAATTCATGGTCATTGTTTTTTATTTCACTGTTTTTGTCTTAAAACAAGGCTTTTAGTGTATTCCATTACAGCTGCAGTTAAAAGTGGCACAGGCTGGGTGCTGGTGGCTCATTCCTGTGCAGGAAAGTCCATGAAACTTATCTCCAGTTAACCACCAAAAGCTGTAAGTGGAGCTGTGGCTCCAAGTGTTAAAGCACTAGCAAAAGAAGCTCAGGGACAATGTCCAGGTCCTGATACCCCTCCACCCCAGTGCACACAAAGATGGCACAGATTTTTTTTTTTTTTTTTTTTTGATCAGTCTTGGGGCTTGAACTCTCAGGGCCTGGGTACTGTCCCTGAATTTTTGTGCTCAAGGCTAGTGCTCTATTACTTGGAGCCACAGATCCACTTCCTGTTTTCTGGTGGTTAACTGGAGATAAGAGTCTCCCTGTCTTTCCTGCCAGGGCTGGCTTTGATCCAAGATCCTCAGAACTCAGCCTGCTGAGCAGCTAGGGGTTATAAATATGAGCCTCCAGCTCCTAGCTTGTGCAGCTCTTATCAAATAATATAGTCTATTTTCAAATTAAACTTAACCACTGTATAAGACAGTCTCTTGAAGGCATTGAGGCCATCTGTCATTCTTTAAATTTTTGATCAACTACTCTAGCTTGAAGATATTCATAGATTATTAATTGATCTTTTTCATCATGAAATGACTGGTTTAACCATTGTGATCTGTGTTGGGGACAGATTTCTCAGAATTTTCATGATTTCTCAGAATTTTTAGTATTGTCCTATTATTTTCTGTTATGATGTGATTCTTAGCTTTGTGTTGGCTAGTAATGGGTACATATGGACAAAAGTAGTTTCTTTGTTATATTATTTAAAAAATAATATTAGTGCTTGTATTTGTAAAGGGAAATTTCTTTTTTTTTTGCCTTTTTTATTTTTTTGGTCAGTCCTGAGGCATGGGTGCTATCCCTCAGCTCTTCAGCTCAAGACAGGTGCTCTACCACTTGAGCCACAGAGCCACTTCTGTTTTTTTAGTGGTTTATTGGAGATGAGTCTCATGGACTTTCCTGCCGGGGTTGGCTTTGAACCGTGATCCTCAGATCTCAGCCTCTTAAGTAGCTAGGATTACAGGTGTGAGCCACCAGTGCTCGGCAACCTATTATTATTATTATTATTTTGTTGTTGTTCCTGAGTTCTTCAGCTCAAGGTGAGTGTTCTACCACTTGAGCCACAGAGCTACTTCTGGTTTTCTGGTGGTTAATTGGAGATGAGGGACTTTCCAGTCGAGGCTGGCTTTGAACCGTGATCTTCAGATCTCAGCCTTCTGAGTAGCTAGGATTACAGGTGTGAGGCACCAGCACTGACTTTAAAAAAAATTTTTTTTTTTTTGCCTGGGCCTGGGCACTGTCCCTGAGATTCTTTTGTTGTTGTTGTTGGTTGTGGGGCCTGAACTCTGGGCCAAGGTGCTGTCCCTCAGCTCTTTAGCTCAAGGCTAACACTCTATCACTTGAGCCACAGCACCACTTCCGGGTTTTTCTGCTTATGTGGTGCTGAGGAATTGAACCCAGGGCCTCATGCATGCAAGGCAAGCACTCTACCACTGAGCCACCTTCCCAAGGTTAGCACTCTACCACTTGAGCCACAGTGCCACTTACAGCATTTACTGTTTATGTGGTATTGAGTAATTGAAGCCAGGGCTTCATGCATGCTAGGCAAGCACTCTACCACTGAGCCACATTCCCAGCCCCTCTGTTGTTGTTTGTTTTTTTGGTATGCTGGTCCTAGGGCTTGAATTCAGAGTCTAGGCACTGTTCTGAGCTCTTTTGCTCACGTCTAGCACTCTACCATTTGAGCCACAGCTCCTTTTTATTTATTTTTTTTTGGTGCTGGTTATGGTGCTTGATCTCAGGGCCTGGGTGCTGGCATTGATCTTTTGTCCATAACGCTAGCATTCTACCACTTGAGCTGCAGCTCCACGTTTGGCTCTTTTTTGGCTAACTAATCACAAAAAAAGACAAGTG